CTATAACTCTGGTTCCTTTTCTGGTATCAAAATGATATTAACAGGGTCTTATAGGCAATTGATAAGGCTTTGATTTTAATTATAAAATTAAATTGAAGTGACCTTGAAATGCATTTGACCTTAAATTAAAGCAGAAAAATTTAAATAGCAAAAAACACGTCACCTTCGATTTGGGTAATTTTTACATATTATGTCCGTCACAATGTTCCTAACCATCTGTGAAAAAATTGGAGTGGGCCATTCATAACTTTCGCGGCAAACGCCGTTTTCATGGATCAACATCACGCAACCGCGCGTGACCTTGAAAGACAGAGTCAAGACATGCTTGCTTGTGTACACTTTCTGAAATGAATGATTGTTGATTAGTGATATCCCAAACTCTGCGAGAATGGAAATGCATATTCATCGTAGTCAAGCATTCACGTTCCATAGTAAAAGTGTCTCAGGCAAACGGTATTTTGCGGTGAATTTTGAGCCGTGTGGAAATGCATCATGAAGTAAATTCAGCGAAAACATTATCACGCAACGATATCTTCACGTCTTTTGATCTTCACTATACGAAAGAACATACATTCTTTAATATGTATGGGGAATTTCTAGTTAATCCAATAATAAATATGGCAGTTAGAGCCTAGAGGCCTGCTAAGAGTTACATGTCGCCGGCTGAGGCGGGCTCGGCCGATGCGGGAAACGCAACAATCACAATTTTGTGTTTACACGTTCATATTTAAATTGTTTACCAACCGATTTTCAAAATTCTTTCACCATAAGATTGCCTGTACATTTCTTAGTCTTCTCACAAAATTTGACGCGAATCGAACGTAATCAGCGGTAGGGAGCGCGATGTAAAGACAGAACCGTTCCGTTCCGTCCCGGCACAGTCTACAATTCAGGCGGCGCGTAGCGGTCGGCGCCGGCTGCCGAGTCGCCGCGTCGCTGCGGCGACAGGATGTTCACTTTACACCGCTATTACTAGAACAGTTGTGAACCGATTTTCTTATTGATTGCACGATGAGATGTCCAATTCAATTCTTGACAGGTAGCCATAATTAATTTCGCATTAATCTTATGAAATATTGGCGAAAAACAGGAGGGGTGGGCGAAATTCGCTCTTCCCCCTCCACTGCGCGTGCTACCATACGTTTGCATATGTGCAATTTTCTTCAAAACTTATGAATGGCCCACTCTAATTTTTTCACAGGTTGTTAAGAATATGGTAGGCAATAAAATATATGAAAATGAGCCAAATCGAAGGTGACGTGTTTTTTGCTATTTCAATATTTGTGCTTAAGAACAGAGTTAAGCAAATTTCAAGGTCATATATTTAAGTAGGTGCAATTCTAAACAAATGCTTAAGAAATTACCTTAACAGTAAGGTTTATTTCATTCAAATCAAACAAGTACAACCAAAGTTATGGTCGTTCAAAAATATAAAGATGCAACATTTTGCAGAAATTCGATGCCCTATATTTAGAAGACCTGTGGTCAGAATGTGCAAAAAACATCAATGTAATGTCCGGGGCCACAGAGGAACTCGCTCACAAATTTATAATGAAATCGCTGATGGTAAGGTGCAAAACAGCCGATTTTTGTTCGATTTGACGTGGAATGCCCCTACTGTAACTAACGAGCTACAGAATATGACGGAGGCGCCGGGGGCACTAATCGTTTGGCCGAAAGGGGAAGAGCACTCGATCCGCGCCCCGGCAGGTTACCTGTGCTCCAGCTTCCGAGCTGAGATGGTCGCCCTCCGAGCTGCTCTCTCCTAGCCGCTGGAGAACCCGCCGCACGCCGAAGACACCATCGTAGCCTGCACCGCCTCGCAGTCCGCCCTCGCCGCCATCCGAGGTGGCTGGGCCGCCCAGCACTCCTCGCTCGGAGTGGACATCTGGAGAGCCCCCTGGGGACTGACAGCTGGAGACCTGTTGGTCTACCTACAGTGGGTGCCCTCACAATGCAGGTTGGAAGGCAACGAAAGGGCCGACACCATCGCCAAGAAGGCAAACATACTCGACTAAAAACAAATCCTTATAGACGTCCAGAAGGCCCACTGGGCCGCCGCCAGAGTGGCGAGGGCTCGCACCGTCGGGGCCTGGCCAGCCGGCTGGTTCCACCAGCTGACGGGGATCGACTCCCGCCTACCGTTGCCGGCGGCGACCGGCCAGCGGCGGTGGACATCCACCAGCTCCGCGCCGGCCACTGGACAAGCTCCTCCCAATGGCGCCACAGAGTCGGGTTGGCGCCCTCCTGGCTGCCGGGGTGCAACCAGTGCGACGACCGACAATGCAGAGCCGCACTCTACCCGTCTGCTGAGAGGAGGCGGACAGCCCAAGCATGTCCTCCTGCGGTGCCCGGCTCTGATGGGCACCCGACATCGCCTGATGGCGACCATCAACCCCAACATGGAGGAGGTGCGGAGCGGCAGCATTGTGGTGGCCCTGGGGGCCGCCCACAGGTCCCTTCAGAGCTGCTCGGCTACGTCTCCATGGGACGAAGGGACACAATAAAAGCAACAATAGCTACGCGGCATGACAACGTGATGGGAACGACCGTCACAAGAGCTATCGCCTTATCATTCAGCAGCGAGTGGAAAACGAGCAGACGGAGGGATACGTTGCAATTGGTGGTGCGCATGTGCGAATGTGTGAAAGTGCGACTATGTGTAGATGCGTGGTGCGAAAAAGTGGGTAACAGAGAAGAACAGTGAAGACACCGTTGCAGCAGACACACATTTTCCCGTAAAGTCCCCCATCGGCATTACCGCCAACCTTTACCACCAGCGCGGTCGGTGCACTGTCGCGCGAGTTTGTAGCCAGCCATGTCAGAGATGTGAACAATCCAGCACACGGGGGAAGAAGAAAGGGATGATAGCCACCCTTTCTCGCTGGATCCCGCGGTGAAAATGGACTAACGCCATTTTCAAGCCCACTGGTGCAATGTGAGATGAACTTGACATGAGGACATCAATGGGTGTCGATGAACGTGAAATGATGTTCCAATACAGATTCATATCGACCAGAAGCCTTTCTTATTCTGAGCTACGAGCAATAGATAGTACAAAAATAAAATATATTACATAAAATTAAGCCTGTCGACAGGAAACAATAAAAGGGTATGGTGTTACAACATATGGGTTCATATTACGGCTTCAGAAATTTGGGCCTCCAATGCTGATTTCCCAAATCAGCGCACAGTCCATATATAGAGAAGTCTGTGCCTGGGCATTTTGCAAAATGCCCAGCCGGTCAGGCATTTTGCAAATTGCCTAGGCATTTTGCAAAATGCCCGAGTTTTCACTTTGCCTGTAACATATGCACTAACTGTTACCAAGAGGCTGTACCCACGGAAATGCGTTCGGGAGAATCCAAGAAGTCATCGGTAATGAATTAATACTTGTCCGACCGCGCAGCCAGACAGCATGAGCTCGCTGCTTGACCCCGGCCGTCCGTTGGCTTCCTGGGTGACACGTTTCGTGCAACGGGCGACGGTGCTGGCGGTGCTGGTATCTATTCCAGCGAGATTTACAACTCGTACTTTTGCATGAACATCAACCTAGCCTCCTCTGCTGTCAAAAACTCGACGACACCGCACTGCCAACGATACAATACGACCAGTGAACAATGAACATCAGCTATTATCTGTACCCGCGGCCGCATAGTCAGTGACGAGCATCGTTAACAAGTTGATAATGAAGTGTACTGATTGATTACTCAACATGGCGCACTGCAAAATCAACTGGTCGGTAGTTGTTTCTTTGCCGCATTCCCCCGCACTGTAACACCGGTCTCCATTGAGCAAGCAGTGGCGGCTAGCGGACGAAAAACGGACCCAGTCAGAGCACGCATACTGATTTCGTGTACGGAACGCTGTGACCCGTTCAACGGACCTACTGCGTCGGCGCCGGAGTTGGTGACAAGTAACGTCCAAACCAGAGTGTTGGCAGACAAGGCTGCCAAAGACACAGCTTCGAAAAACGTCGGGGAGCGCCATCCTACTCCGAATCACAGACTAGAGACGGCAGCGCGACCAGAGAACACGCTATTTGCGGTGTAGTGCGGGAAAATGCGGCAAGGACCACTGGACTGCGCCACCGGACGGCATATCATACCAGTGTCTAGAAGGCCCGTTACAACCTACAGGAACCTTTACAGTTTACGATATTCTTATTTCTTAGTACATACGTGCGAAGAACGATATCATATAGTTAGCTGCCATAGCGACTGTTTGGCCTTAGTTTTTAACGCTGTCCCTGTAAAACATGTATCTCTCATTGAACAGCTGAATGATGAACATTTCCAATGATCAACACGTAACACGAGTGATAACGGCGTTCTGTCGTAACACTATGCATGCGTTTGAACCAGTTTTTTTTTTACAGCCTGCTCCACGGTAAAAACAGTACAATCGCGGCATCGTAGCAGGTGGCGGTATTGCCCCATAAGTCAGACTGACTGACCCGCCCGCATCGCCCACGGCAAAACCAGCCGATGTGTGCGCAGCGCAGGCTGGGTCAGCGTTCAGGGCCACAGGACCGGTCTGCTGACCGTGGCTAGGGCTGAGTCACCGGGCCACCGCACTGGTCCCATCGGTCCCACCGGACCACCAGCACTGGTCCCGTCAGACCACCGGTCCCACCCGCCCACCGCACCGGTCCCAACTTACGAACCAGTGCAGCACTGGTCCCATCAGAACACCGGCCCTTTCGGACCAATGCTGCACTCGTCCCACCGGACGGGGTCCTTCGTTTAGCTGCTACGAGTCTTCCCACTCATCAGTCCCCTGCTCTGGCGCTCACTGACCCATCCCATTCCCGTCCCCCACTAATTAGTCCCCTGCCCTGGCGCTGACTGCCCCGTCTCCCGTCCCCTACTCACCAGTCCCCTGCCCCGCTCCCTGACCGTGTCCCGTCCCCCACTCACCCACCAGTCCCCTGCCCCTCTCCCTGATCGTGTCCCGTCCATGCCGCACCCACAGTCCCGTCCCCATCTCCCTTCACTGACCTGGTTTACACAGAGCACGGCCAGATGGTGCTGGCGGCTGAGCCGGCGCAGGGCAGCGCCCAGTCTCTGCAGGTCCAGAGCGCGTCGGCCGCCCTCGCCCTGCTCGTACTGACACCGGAACTGGGCGGCCACCGAGTCGACAATGAGCGCGCAGAGCGGCCGCCGGCCGGCCAGCTGCGGCACGCGCCGCTCACAGCACGCCTGCAGACCCTCCTGGGAGCGGGAGGACGGCGAGAAGTCAGACGGACACAGCGCCAGAGGCACACTGAAACGGGGAACAGCTGGGATTGCGGAGAGTCAAATGGCACGAATAGGACTGACCGAAACCGCAGAAAACTGGGACGTAGGAAAGGGTTAGAATAGATGGACAGAATCGCATGGCGATGATCAGCTAACACAGAACTAGGAACAGCTGGGAGTGAGGACAAAGATGGCCGCACAGAGAGTGAACACTGACAGGACACAGTCAGTGGACACTCAAACGGCATTGTCAGAGGACACTCACATAGATTACCGGCATGGACACTCTCACGGGTAATGGACGGTGGGCACTCATACCTACTGCACGGACAGTTAACACTAACACGGCACGGACAGCGGAAAATAACACGGCACGGACAGTTGATACGGCACGGGCAGCGGAAAGCGGACACTCACACGGACAGTGAACACTAACATGGCGAGGTTACTCACTGGGAAGAGGACACCCACACAGTATGTGCAGTGGAAACTCATACGGTACGGGCAGCGGACACTTACCTAGACATAGTTAGCAGACAGAGGACACTCACACGGTGCAGACAGCGGGCACACGGTACCGACACTGACACGGACAGCGGACACTCACCACGTCCGGCACGTGTTCGATGAGGATGCGGTCGGTGACGTCGGCAGGCAGCCGGCGCGCGCGCCGCATCTGCTCCAGGCGCCGCACGGGGAAAGCGTCCTCTGTGCAGATGTACACTGCCGCTGCGGACGGGCACAGGTCAGTCAGAGAGCCGCCACCACGGCAGGAAAGGCCAGTCAGACGCACCAGCGCGGAGGGACAGGTCGGTCACACAGACCGTACCAGAGGTCATCCTGGTGGGACTGGTCCGTCACAGACACGCCAACGCGGCGGTCACAGGTTCACAGATAGGCCACCAGAGGTCACCACGGCGGGACACGGCGAGCAGTTGAGGACGTCTCACTTTCTTATTATTCCGTACTGACGGGGGGCGTTCCCTCGTACATACGCACCCACCGGACCGGTCCCTGCGCCCGCTGACGGAATGGTGTGGAGCTCACCCTGTCCGTTGACCGGAATCATCCCCCTCCTGTGTCTCTGCCCAGCTCACCCTATCCGGTGGCATGCGCCGCCCTCCCTGTGCCTGAGCTGGTAGTGTGGTGCACCCTGCAGTGTCCAGCTCACCCTGTCCGGTGACACGCGCCGCCTCCAGCGCCAGCTGCAGACACAGCTGCGTCTTGCCGGAGCCGCTCTCGCCGGCCAGTTCGGTAAGGCCGCGCCGAGGGACGCCGCCCGACAGCAGGGCGTCCAGCGCCGGACAGCAGAGGGACAGAGGAGCCAGAGAGCTGTCCGCGCGCTCCGACTCCAGCTGCAGCGAGTGGGCTGCAGGGACCGGCGGGCAAGGAGAAAATGGCGGACATCAATCCAGCATCATCCTCACAAACTGAAGCAGAACATAATGGTCAGCACATATGAATTCATTGAAAACATGGACAAATCAAGTAGGATGAGAAAATATGGAATTATTGTACTGGGACATTATAAGTATTTAGGAACCAATTCTTCGACACCAGTAATGCGTATATTGATTCGGTAGCTTTCGGAAGCTTCTGCTCCCTTCGTCAGCCGTGCTTTAAAATGCATTAAAATACAAGACAATACGTCTCAAACGTCTCAAACACCTACCAAAATACATACCACCACGAGGAAAAGTTGTAGCCGTACGTATAAAGCACAGATGCACGCTCAGCACGAGAGGATTGAATTCACGCTCGAGGAGGAAAAGGAGGGATCCTTACCTTTTTTGGATGTAAAGGTACATAGACTGGGAGGGGGGACCATGAAGACCGAGGTGTTCAGGAAAGCAACTCATACGGACAAATACCTTCACTATGAATCACACCACAGCTCACAGCACAAGGCGTCAGTCCCACAGACACTTTTCACACGGGCATCACGACTCACGACAACACCTGAGGACGAGGAACGCGAGACAGGGAAGATAGAACGGGCACTGGTGAAGAACCATTACCCAAAGCGAATGGTGCGCCGTATCCACAGGCGGGTAAAAATAGAGAACGACTACGCATGGGAGAGGGTGGTGGTTCTGAACGGGTAGGCAGGGAACAGGAGGAGGACAAACGGGTTTATGTAAGCATCCCTTACATCCAGGGGGTGAGTGAACAGGTCACGCGCGTCCTCCGACCCTACGCGAAGGTCAGCACGAGACCTGCAGCGAACCTTAGTGCTAGGCTCGTCAAACCCAAGGACAAATTAGGGATCAAAGAGAAGGCTGGGCTGGTCTATCAGTATAAGTGCCAGTGCGGAAAAGTTTATGTAGGGGAAACCGGGAGAAAGCTGAGGACGAGGGAGTCAGAACACAAGCGAGCTATAGCAAATGGGAACCGAGACCATTCAGGGATATCGAGGCATATATTAGAAACAGGGCACTCTATCATGTGGGACGAAGTTAAAATTTTGGACTATGAGACGAACTGGGGTAAACGAAAGGTGAAGGAGGGGTTTTATATTTCCAGGGTAGACAGACAGAACAGCATCAATATCTTACCCGGGTGGGAGGTGCCGGACATGTACAGGGCACTGCGTGTATAGGGCGAATTCCAGGGGGTCTGAGTGAGCTATTATAGGCACACTTAGTTTAGAAGTGTTGAAAAATATGTACGGTTGTTGTATGTGATTATTAGAGCGAATATGCGAGCTTGTGCGTCTGCGATTGTAAAACGATTACGAACTTACGACTACCTCCGATTGTTGTTACGATCATGAACTTACGATGACTGCCGAAAGTTTGGCACGAATGTTACGGACGATTAAGTACGTCTTAGTTCATTAATATGTGTTATGGAATGTTGGTCAAAAGAAAGAGAAGTCAATGTGAGGTAACTTTCAAATATTGGTTTCTTTCATGTAATGTGTGCTCACGCTCAGTTATGGTGTATTCGTATGATTATTTTGTGCATCTGTGCTTTAGACGTACGGCTACAACTTTTCCTCGTGGTGGTATGTATTTTGGTAGGTGTTTGAGACGTTTGAGACGTATTGTCTTGTATTTTAATGCATTTTAAAGCACGGCTGACGAAGGGAGCAGAAGCTTCCGAAAGCTACCGAATCAATATACGCATTACTGGTGTCGAAGAATTGGTTCCTAAATAGGATGAGAAGGATAACAAAGACCTAGTTTTTCACCTTTGCAAATTAATGCATGTTGGTGAGCTGTGTAGTCACCTACACAATGCATAATTATGGCAATGGCAATTGGCAACAGTTGCAGTGATAACACAGCAACAGCTTAGCTTAGGTAGGTACCTGAAATAGGGACCAGGACCCTATGTGCTTCGGTCAGCAGTAGTTGCCTGGCTTGGCGAACCTCTGCAGATGAAAGGCGGCAGTCCTGCCCCAGTGTCGAACTCCGCAGTGACAGCAGGTCAGGAATTCCGACCTCCTTTACTGTGAATGTTGAGTGCAAATGATAAAAAACATGATGATGTGATGAGCCAAGGCATAAAACACAAAACTGATAAGCTGTCAAAGTTGCAGGTTTAATCAGCTTGAGCTTGATGATTAACTCAAAGAATTGCCCTGCTGGGTGCGCCCAACCTTTCATTTGCCATTATTGTAATTATAAAAAAGCAACAAAACATAACCTAACTATGTAAACATTCCTGGCATGTTAACATAGCCGCAATCATAGAATTTGCATAGAATACACACACAAATCAGCCTAATGCAAATGGCATTGGCATTGCCCATTGCAGTACGCATAGCCTTGATTGGTATCAGTATAAGCTTTTAGTAGCATCGTGAAATCAAAAATACTATGCTTTTGACCACAATAACTTACCTGCCTTACTGCACAATTCTGGGAGATCATCCAAGTTCATCCCAAAGCAATATAAACACGCAATAAACTCAACTCAAAAATCGAGAGCCGCCGAAAACCAAGGCCGAAAACCACGTCTTGTTGAAATCAAAACAATACGCGGCCAATCAAGAACATTTCCATTTTGGCGCATGTGTTTCCTTTCATGAACTTTTGAAAATTGTTCAGAGCTGAAGTTTTTCGTCAAGATCAATTCCAGCCACTCTGGTGAAGGATGTGCTCTAGTGCCCGGTGCCGGGATGGGATAGCTTACTTTGTAGAAAAAAGTACTATTTTTTAGTTGATCGATCAAAGCAGTGGATTCGACTATCTGGCGATCGGTTTCATGTTTTATTTTCCGATAACATGCAAATACCATTAGTCTTCTTCAATCTTCCCTCCTCGCGATTCGCGAAACCGGCCCTGGGGTTTTCAAGGAATGGACAGGGGCTTCACCCATCCCTATAGCCCGTTCCCATGTGTTCTCAGACCTATTTATATTTATATTCTATTTATAGTCACCGTGATCAGCACAGGCATATCTCAGGAAACTCATCTGTCCTTTTCAGTCCGGATCCCAGTGTCCTAACTACTGGCTGCGACCAGCCGCGGTCGTCAAATCGCGATAGGACAGTGAACTAACCAGCCACCTCTTTTCGTTCACACTCCCACACCCTGACACCTATCCGTGCTTCTATCCTCAGGATACTGAAATCCTCCTCCTCCACACCGCCACCCCCTTCCGGGCTGGACAGGCAACTTTATCTCATGCGGGCTGCTCCCTTGGAGCGGCACCGCTGCTCCCGAGGGAGCGCACCCCGTAGCCGGGTGCAGTGAGTGCCTTGGGGCTGGGTGGCCTGTCTTCGGACGGGCTCAGCCCCGGCGACTCACTAGGATGCCTGCCCAGACCAATGTCTCCCCCTAATTCCTATCATCCTTCCGGCTCTGCAATGGTCTTGTCGACCGAAAGGGCCTAACCCAACAAAACAAAAAACAAACAAACCCACACCCTGATATGACCCCTACCATGTAGGTTTACCGTTTACATTTGCATTTATAACAACTGGATCCAGCATAAATGCAAACTCGGGCTATCATCCATCGGATAAAAATAAAACTCAGACACCGTAATCGATCCGCTAAGTGCCATGACGAAAACGTCCCCGTTCGGACAAGACAGTCACAGATGCCAAACTCTAATGCGTTTACGATTGTTCACCTTTATTGGCATCAAAATGCGTCATTTGGTCTGCCACCTGCTGTGTTGTGAAAAATGGTCCTTAGGCACCACATCGCTCTCATCAGATGTGACTAGATACCAGTAAAGACATGGTAACCAAGCAACCAAGCAGCAGTTGCTTCATGTCTACATAGCAACGGGCACTTGACAGATATTCACATATGTCAGTGTCGCCCCTTCTCGGCGCACATTTTGGCTACATATGCAATATGCATACATCCCAGCATGCACCAATACCACTCAGCACACATCGCCTTGTCGTACACAGCACACATAGTCTGAGATTACACACACGAGACAAACACAGTGGTAAAAATTAATACACACGTCATAAATGTGGGTAAAATACACTAAAAGTGCGAGAAATGCCCTCCCCCAGAACGCACACACAGACGTGTCCACCACCATAACAAATATAGCAAATATCACCGCTGCACCCAGAGTCACGGCGCCCGCAGTGCGACAAACACATATCAAAAAGAGCCGGCCGACTACCCACTCCGTCCGTCCCCAGCCGCGGTCAGCTCGTCCCCAGCTGCGGTCAGCTGTCGCCAGCAGTGACCAGACTGACCCGGCCGGCGTCCGCCGGCTGACCGGCAGTCAGCAGACCGCTGGGGCGGTCGGCGGGGGCGGGGACGGGGGCGGGGGCGGCGCGTCGGTCCGACGGGGTCCGCCGGCAGCACACCAGGTATACCGCCCAGCCGAGCAGGGAGTTGATGATACCTGCCCGAGAGACGGGGACGGTCAGACTGCGGGGGCGGATACCACGCAAAGGCGAGCGACGCTCGGGACGGGCATAGTGGGTACTGCATGGAACAATGACAATATTTATCATAAATGAGGGAGCATAAGCCCAAAATTACGTTCGGTTGCTCAGAAATTGTACCGAAAACAGTCATTGAGATAACCTTGCTATAAGTTTCCTAAATCATGCTTACCAAGGGGCGCAACTATTACATAAACATGATTTTATCTCTGTCGGTGACTGATAATACGAGTATAGACGCATAGACGTTTTTGTGTGCAAATGTTGCGTCGCAATGAATCGTCACTATCATGTCCCAGCGAGACACAGGCGAGAAACATCGGCTCGCCTGGGCAGGGCGATGAACCGGAGTGAAATACGACTATGATGTAACGTGATCCGAGCGGCGGGCCGATCGCCGAGGGCGGGGAACCGATCCGACCGATGCGGGACGACGGCTGTCTCTCAGTACCCCTCCACTCCGCCTGGGAGCGAGCCAGGAGGAGGTTCTATGTATATGTGTGTCTGTCTGTCAATGCAGTACCTACCGTGAAAGCCTGTGCGGAGTTACCGAGCTTCCAACCATTGAACAGCGCTCAAACGCTCTACTATATAGCCAAGCATGACAAGGCGAAGTTGACGCGTCTAAAGATGCTACCAGCCAATTCAGCTGATATGTATTATGTGACCGTGGTCGCTCAGTCGATAAGAAGTGACATACAATGAGATGCATGAATTCAAACATTTCCAGTGCAAGGCATTGCCCAGCTCCCAACAACACAAACCAACGAATACCAACCAACCAATACCAACCAAACGCTGCTCACAAACTCAGTTATAGAGGGGGAGGCGTCGCGCGGCCTCAAGTGCCAGCGCAACTTCCTCCCGTTCTAAAAATTACGCACTGGGTATGTCTGGATTTCCATACCCCACAGGAGAATTTTCCCCTATGCGTCATAAGTTGGCGAGTGCCCTTTATGAAAGTTTCGGGGGTATTGAAAACGGGTACATCATATAAGTAAATGATCCTTCTTTTTAGTTTCAGGAGAAAATCAGGGCTGAAGGCTAGAGCGCTTCCAGCAACACACTTATCCGATTCGGCAAAACGTGCTAATTGCAACGCACCCATCATGTGCCAATTGTCCATTATAAACAATAGGAACTTCGACCGTAACGACAGTTCATGCTTGGCAATGGCAAGACAGAGACCCTTAGCACCATCTAGCGGTGGAGCTCAAAGCATTGGTTTACCTAGCTTCCACGGTGACTATACCTAGTAGCTCCAACAATAGGTGAAAAGCGAAACCCACGTCACATAAAGCTACATTTACATGATAACAACAATAATTTGAAATGCATCACGTGTCACCCAATGAATTTTGAGCTTGAATGTGCCACCATAGTCTACCTTTGTGAAGAAAAGAAGAAAAGCACAACTACCCTGAGTACCCACCTACCACTAGGCCACCTATGAAGCTACACTAGCGCCACCTGCCCATCACTTCCGCCTCGTCCACTGGGACCGCCGGGCACCGGTATCAGTTGCGACCCGTTTTTTCAACGGTTACCTACGCCAGTTTCGGCATAACAGAGCAAGAAATGCAAAATCCGTTTCATGTAGCGATAGATGAGTCAGGCGAACCAACGAAACATCATTTCACGCCGAATAAATACTTGACTCTGGACTCTGGAGCACTTCACGGCTCACGCCGAATAACTACTTGACTCTGGAACACTTGACAGTAACATTCGAGAATCGGCGTCGCTTACGTTTCAATCTAGATTTATCACCTTCTTGCAATTGTCAAAGGCATTGAATCACCGGGAGGAGCGGGGGGGGGGGGCATAAGAACCATCCGTGTACGATCATACGATGTTACCAGACTAGCCGAGGACAGTGCTTTTAGGTGCAGTACAGGACATCAGAATACCCAATTCAGCTGACGACTCTGTCAGACCGGTTATTGATTCACCTTTTTTGGATTGATTCGATCATTGACTCAGTTCATTTTTTTCGCTTTAATCACCGTTTGATTCCTTCAAAGAAATGGTGAATCGATTCCTTTTGATTCAGAGAATCAAAAAACAAAAAAAAGGAATGATTCACGTTTGATTCATCCGAAAGTTATTGAACGATGCTTTTTTTTTCGATTCGATTTTTAAAAAATCACTGATTCAGGTGTAGTATTGAGCTTTGACTATTGTATTTGTTGTGCTCTTTTTGTTGTCACTCAATTATCATCACATGGCAGTAATCAGCATTCAGTGTTAACATCTGTTGATAATGAAGTATGTTCACTTCAATTTTTATTTCTTTAAGCTTATGAATCGTTATTTTTTTTCATTCAATCAACCCTTCTTCCCAATTCGTTTAATTCAATCATGGCTTGTGAATCGAACAATCCTGACGGTGAAGTAAACCTTTTTAATTCAACAAATTGCGTTTAATTCAATCCAATCGATTCAATCACGGGTGAAAACACCAGTCTGGACTCTGTAATTCCACTGGCAGGGAAGTTAACGATTCACCCCAGTAATGCCCATTAAGCGCACTACTCGTGTGTCACCGTTCCGTTGTTTCCATCCCCAGGACTGTTAATTTTTTTTTCTCCTCAACGCCTCAACCCTCTGCCCCGGGCTGGACGGGCAACTTTTCCATGCGGGCAGCTCCCAAAGGATCACGCCCGTAGCCGGGTGCAGTGAGTGTTTTGGGGGCTGGGTAGCCTGTCCACTGGATGGGCTCAGCCCCGACGACTCACCAGGGTGCTCGCGCAGACCAATGCCACTCCCTGATTCATATCATCCTTCCGGCTCTGAACTGGTCCCGTCAGACTGAAAGAGCGCCCCAAGCCAACAAAACAAACGAACCACAAACTACTCGTACCTATGTAGACTATCCGGGATCTAACTGTGTACGATCATCAATAAAAAAATACCGCTTTGGCCGCTATCCAGCTGTGTTTATAGCGAATAATACTCCTACATATAACGCGCATTGTGAAAGGCAAGCTAGGTTAGTCAGAGGCAACACTTCATACAAGATTTAAGAGCAATGACAGATGGCACACCATGCCGCGGCGAGCAGGTCAAACTGGAGCCAAATGCCCAGTCCCCGTGCTCAACGCATCCCGTCTATCCGTTCCCGGGTTCGCCCGGCAGCAGGAGGTGCGGTCTCAGCCGGCGGCGCCGCCCGCCTGCGCCTCGTGCAGGCCCCGGCAGAAGATGCGACGTGCCTCATCCATCGTCTCCTCGAAGCCGCGCAGGTCGCTCTGGCGCTCGGCTCTGAGCGTCTCCAGCTGGGCGGTCAGACGCTCCACCTCCTCCCGCAGCGGGCCGGTGTCCGGTGGCGACCCCTCGGCGGAGGGACGCGCCGCCGGCCGCCGACCCCGGCCCAGCATCTGGCGCAGCCGCTCGGCCTCGCGGCGTGCCGCCAGCGAGACACCCCGCTCCTCCGCCAGCGCGCCAGCGGCCGAGTCGGCGCGCCGCTCGGCCGCCGCCAGCCGCCGCTCCAGCTCGGCGACCAGCTCCGCGAGCCGGCGCCGCTCGGCGGCGGCCGCCTCTGCCGTGAAATCTGCCTCCAGACAGCGGCGGCGCAGCTCGGCCATCTCGGCGGGGTCGGCGGCCGGCGGCGGCGGGGACGGCGGCGGCGCCTCCTCGGCGGCCGGCAGCGCCGCCAGCTGGCCCTCCAGACGCGCCACGTCCGCCTCGCGCGCCGCCAGCTGGGCACGCAGCAGCGCCAGCTGCTCGCCGCAGACGGGCGCCGTCGGTTGGCGGGCGTCCCGCGCGGCCGCCCGCCCGCCGTCGGCCAGCTCGGCCTCCAGCCGACGCACCTGCGCCTCCAGCATCTCAATCATCTCGTCGTCATTGCGGCATTTCTGCGAGAGACGCGCCGTCTGGTCCCGCAGCTGGGTGACCTCCTGCGTCAGAACGGCCACCCGCGACCGGGCGGCGTCCAGCTTCAGTCGCAGGCTGGCCGCCTCGCGCGCCTGCTGCTCCGCCTCCGCGGCCACCTGGCGCGCCTGCGCCTGCTGCTCGCGGCCCAGACTGCGCAGGTGGGAGCGCGCGCGGCTGTCGGCCGCCGAGAGGCGCGGCTCCGAGCGCGAGGGAGACGCCGACGACGCCGACTGCAGCTCCTGCAGCTGCGCCTTCAGTGTGACGATCTGCTGGGCGCGGCCGCGCCAGCCGGCGCCGGCTGCCAGCAGCTGCTGCACCGAGGCGCCCTCACCGACCTCCTGCTGCAACAGTCGCTCGGCCTGGCGCAGCTCGCGCCGCGCCGCGCCCGCCTGGTTGCGCGCCTCCACCAGGCGGCGCGTGGTGTCGCGCAGTCGCTCCCGTAGCTGGGCCGCGCTCTCGCCGTCCCCGGCGGTCTCCGAGGCTGCCTCTGAGGCCGGAGGAGGCGGCGGCTGCGCGCCGGCCGCCGCCGGCTCGGCCAGGCGCGCCTCCAGTCGCCGGCGGCGCGCCCGCTCGGCCTCCAGTTCGGCGGTCAGGTGACGCTGGCGGCGCGACAGATCCATGATACGCGCGGCGGCGGCGTCACTGCCGGCGCCGGCGCCGGTCAGCTCGCGCCGCTCGGCCTGCCACTGCTGGCAGGCGGCCGCGTGCCGCTGTCGGAGCTCGGTCAGCGCCGCGGCCAGCGCGGCCCGCTCGGAGCGCAGCGCGCGCAGCTGGCCGTGCAGCAGGCCGTTCACCGAGAGCGGGTCGGCGCCGGCCGCCTCGCCGCCGCCGCCGGACGGCTCCACTGCCGGGCAGCGAGGTCCATCGGCGGCCGAGCACGGCTGATCAGCGGCGTCACCACCGTCACCGCTGTCCAGCGACTTCAATGTGGAGCTCTTCATGACCACGCAGAAAGTGCGGGCGGCCGAGGCTCTGAAGTGCCACAACCAAAATCCAACGAAAAATCGCCAGAAGAGAAGGAAGATAATACTAAAAAGTCATTGATCCAACCGCCCTTTTGAATGATCGAATGATGAAAATGACTCTTCTCGACTTCAAATGAACCGAATTTATACGAATCAAGCTACGCCTAAAACAAAATCATGTGAAAATACTGGCAGATAGGGAGGCAGCGGATCTTGCAGCGGATATTAGATAGGAAGTGGGAAGTTCGATTGATGTCTGTTTTCCGGTCACGTGCGTTTCAGTTGGCAGCACCTTGAAGCTATCGAAATTCAGAATTCATTAGGAGCCTACCTAATCATAAGCTATCTCAGCTATGATAACCTTTCCTGCCCCCCACCCCATGCAGTCTTTCCCCTCCGCGAGCAATGAGAATGCCCTGTCTCCCTGGGCCCCGGCTGTCGCCGTTCAGTGACGCGCTCTCTCACCCGATGTGACGTAGATGCCGCCGCATATGGCGCAGAGCCGCACCGCGAACTGGACCAGCGGCTCGCGGTCCTCAGAGACCACCACTTTCAGCGGTGACATGTCGTACTTGAAGTAGATGCCCGGCACGCCGTGGGAGCCCTTCTGGTGGTTGATGACGCGCGACTGCCGGGGCAGGTAGCGTTAACGCCAGCACTGGTTACACGAGAGACGGTTCACACACGTCGGCCAGCAAGGTCATTCGTGTGACAAGCTGACTCGTAAACTGCCGTGAACAAATCCAACCTAATGAATTTTAAAGCAGAAAATTATACAAGTTTGCACGTTGGTACTGACCGACCCAGCTCATTGATCCAAGACTAGTTTACTCTTATCTAGTTCATCCCTCCTACCGCAGGTCTCTGAATCTGACACAATTCCATCGGCTGTACCCAGGCCCTGCCGGAGCGACCAACCCCCTCGACCGTACAGCGCTCGGTACTATGAGTGTACAGCCGGTGGCCGCTGACCTGCTCTTTGACCGAGTACTGGTAGGTGTGCGTGGTACCCAGCAGACCGTGTACATCCGTCGGTACCACCTCCAAAAAGTACTGGTACATCTGCATCTCAGAGGAGGCCAGCTTTTCGTCACCCTCCAGAGGGTGGATCAGACCGCCCTGGTCGTCCCCGAACTGGAACCTGCCGCGAGATAAACCGGATTATCACAGCGAGCCGTCATAGAAGGCCATACAAAGCGGAGCATACGCTGAGGATAATACACAGCGGACCATATACAGCGGAACACACAGTCATAGCAGCACTGGACGCAGCAGTGGGAGCCAAAACCAATGAATCAAATACAGTATCAAACTCTCATTCATTAAAGGAGTGCACCCTGAGAAACATAGGCACACAGACTGCAATAACTCGAACCGGGTTCAACCGTGACGGTGAGAATATAAAGATGTCTTGTGTTAAAAATACAAAGCATTTGGTACACAGATTACTAAATTGTTGTATCATGATTGGTGTCGTTACACCATTTAGTGCCGCCGTTCGAATCAGCCGAGTGTGCGGCATTTAAAAGCCCTTAGTGTAGCAGCCGTACCAGGAGCGAACCAGTTTCAATTGCCATTTTTAGTGATCACCCTGACTGGGGTACTTCCGGTGACGGCGGCGCGGGCTGTCGTGGGCGTCTCAGAGTAGTCAGTCGTGTGGCGGCATTAACCCTCGCCGGCACAGGAGGGAGTTGATGCAACCCCCCCCCCCCCCCGAGATTTTTCGCAAATAACTCGCGTAAAAAGCGGCCGATGGCGACGAAACTTTCAGTACCCTCGCGTAAGCAATTTTAACCTACCCTGAAAATTTAATGATCCTATACCAAATGACCTTTGACCTGTGACCTACTTTTCGAGACCATGTTTGGCCGAAACCGCGATTCGGCGTATGTCGGCTCGCATTAGCCGCGCGTTTGCAGTCTTTTCGTGGTTCAAGCGTTCAAACATTTAATATGCTATTGGTCCCATGCATTAGGGTGGGTGTCAAGGTCACCTGAAGGTCAGATCAGGTCACTGACCTTTTATGACCTTGGTTCACTTTTTCGAGTTTTATATGTTTCTAGGTAAGTTTTCGGAGCTGAATTCGAATTTAGCAACCATATGAACAGTTGCGAAAGAGTTTTGGTGCCTTCGTTTACGAAGCTGTGAGAGGCGGTTGACGCCTACTACGAATACCCGGCAGGACCCCTACTGGTTGACCTGACCTGGCCCGACCTGGCCTAAATGCATGAAGGCAACATCTGTGATCAAACCTAATATGATATTCGTTATCAGCACCCCGAAAAACCTCATAGCAGCCACACTTTACGACGTCCTATAAGTCCCATTTTCTCGACTTTTGGGTCATTGACTTGACCTCAGTAACAGGTCCCCATTTTCCCGACTTTTGGGTCATTGACCTGACCTCAGAGGTCACCATTTGACCCATGACCTTCAAACCGGGTACCGTTGGCTTCGTCTCGTGACGACCTACACGATATTTTTTTCCGCGAGGCTCTAGCTCAATTAGGAGGCAAACGCGAGGGGGGGGGGGGGGGTACCAACCCCTCCCCCCGCTTGTGCCGTCGAAGGACGCAAAATGGCCTGTGCCGGAGAGGGTCAATACATTTTCCGGCAGTTCCGGGACCTGTTTCGGCCGCCCGCCTCCCACTCAGCCCCGTGGTCACAGAGGCAACACGGACATAAATGTTCATTTTTCCAGCCTCGTACCGCCATGACTGATGGCACGGCTAACTTTGGACTCAGTGAATAGGGCTCTGTGAAAGCGAAGGAGGACATGAGTCAGCTGATCGATGAGTCCACTGAGTACAATCGACCATCCCCACCCCCACCCCACCCCCCCCCCCCCCTCCCCAGCTAGCGTCACCGGCTACCCGTCCATGGCCAGTCGCGGCCCGAAACGGATATTTGCGCTGTCAGCGTGGGTGACAATTCCTTTGGTGGCTGTCTGACGCCTGTTTGCCCAGCCCAGCAGGTGACCGACGTGTGGTAGATTGTCACACAGCCTCTTGGCTGGCGTGCCTGGGTGCGCCACTGGCCGCCCTATCCGTCGTCCCTGAGAGCGGGCTTGCGCTCGCTTGACCTATAGCCGGGGGCGCTCAGCTGTGCGGTGTGGGTTGAGTCTGGTCAGCTGATCGAGTGGGAATACAGTTCTGACCGGTGATCGGAGGAGTGTGGTGCCGTGGTGCCGAGCTAGTTCACGCTATAACATTGGCGACGAGGTATTTGAACAGAAGAAATTGAAATGCCGGTGGGCAGAGTAGAGCCATTTAATGTGGAGGAAGAGAACTGGGAAGAATATGTCGAACGTATGGAAGAGTATTTTGTGGCAAATGACATCACAGATGAGGCCAAGAAACGTTCGACTCTGCTCTGCAACATCGGATCCAAGGCATACGGTATCGTACGATCGCTACTATCCCCTGTTAAACCGGCGAGTGCAACGTATCAGCTGATTGTGGAGAAACTAACGACCCATTATCACCCCAAGCCGTCGGTAACGGTCGCACGGTTTCGATTTTTTTCATGCTACCGTCTACCAGGAGAATCGATACAAACGTATATCGCTCGTCTCAGACAGTTCGCTGGTGATTGTCAGTTCGGTACATTTCTAGAAGAGATGATTCGCGACCGACTCGTATGTGGTGTGAAGTCTGACCTGATCCAGTCCAGGCTGTTGTCAGAACCCGAGTTGTCTCTGAAGAAAGCGACAGAGATGGCGGTAGCCATGGAGACAGCCGGTCGGAATCTGCAGGAGCTGTCGGGAGCGGAGGCGGCCGATCCGCCGCGACAAGAGGTGCAGCAGATTCGGTCACAGCAGCGGAGCCGGCCGACCGCAGCGGGGCCAGCGACACAGCAGCGAGCTCCAAGAGGCCCAGCTCAGCAGGCTGGCACGACACATCACACAAGTAAGGCCTTGGAGGGCGGGAAAGATAAGTGCTGGAGGTGTTTGAGTAACCGGCATGCAGAAGAGGACTGTTATTTTCGCTGAAAGAAATGCTTTCAATGTTTTCGTTATGGACACACCAGTGCAGCCCACCTAGCTGGCACGGTGAACAGTGTGGGGATGTTACCCGAGTCTGAGTCACAGGAGGGTGCCGAGGGTGGACTGGAGATGGAAGTAGAGACTGGTGAGGTTGACGCTCTGGTTAGCGATCTGTTCACATGTGCAGAGGAGCGGCCGAGTCTGGTGAAGCCTCCAATCAAGGTCGACGTCAGCATCAACGGTCAGTCGGTGCAGATGGAGCTGGACACCGGCGCCGCCGTCTCCGTCTGCACGTACCGCCGCTTCAAGGAGCTCTGGCCGGACGGAGACAGGCTGCTGCAGCCGAGCAGCCGTCTGCTTCGCACGTTCTCCGGTGAGAAGCTCTCAGTCCGAGGTGAGGCGTGGGTGAACGTGCTGTATCAGGGTGTCAGTCATCGATTGCCATTGACTGTGGTGGAGAGTAACGGTCCGATGTTACTAGGCCGTAACTGGTTGGGAGAGATCAAGTTGGACTGGCACAATATTTTTGCGATGACTCTGAGTCCAGCCATGGGAACACTGCTCGAAAAATACTCCGAGCTATTCAAGGACGATCTGGGCTGTGCGAGGGATGTAGAGCTCAACATTCCAGTGGATCCAGCCGTGAAGCCCATCTTCTACAAGCCTCGGACGGTGCCACTCGCCTACCGGGAGAAGGTGGACGCCGAGTTGGAGCGGCAGATCAAGGAAGGTTTGTTGGTGCCGGTCAAGTGGAACGACTGGGCGACGCCCATCGTGACCTGCCAGAAGGCCTCAGGTGAGATCAGAATCGCAGCAGACTATCGTCTCACAGTAAACAAGGTCACGCCGTTAGAAAAGTATCCTCTGCCAAAAGTAGACGAGATGTTCAGTAAACTGCAAGGTGCGACAGTGTACAGTCAGATAGATTTGAAAAATGCGTACAACCATCTGCCATTAGAGGAGAAGAGTCGCAAATATTTGGCCATAAACACACACAAGGGCTTGTTGGTGCCAACCAGACTGGGATACGGGTACGCGAGTGCTCCGGCCATCTTTCAACGTTATATGGAAACTCTCTTGGCTGGAATACCAGGGGTGGGAGTGTTCCTGGATGATGTCATGATCGCTGGAAAAACCCCACAGGACCACCAGAACTCGCTGGAGATGGTGCTACAGCGGCTGGTGGCGGCCAACCTGCGCCTGCAAAAGAAGAAGTGCAAGTTTGGAGTGTCATCTATCACCTACCTGGGACACCGCATCAGCGCGGACGGCGTGAGTCCGACCGACGACAAGGTCAGTGCTATCAAAAACGCACCCGCTCCAAAAAACTTGAAGGAGCTTCAGGCCTGGCTAGGGTTGATCAATTATTATGCCAAGTTTGTGAGAAATCTGTCCACCGTGCTGGCACCACTGTACCGCCTGCTCAAAAAGGGAGAACCCTGGCAGTGGGGACCCGATCAGAAGAGCGCGTGGCTGGCGGGGAAGAGCCTGCTGCAGTCTACGCAGGTGCTGGCTCATTTTGACGAGACGGCACCGATCGTGCTGTCTTGTGATGCCTCTCCCTACGGGGTTGGGTGTGTCTTGAGCGTGGTTGACAAGCGCCTGGGAGAGAGGCCGGTAGCCTTCTACTCGAAATCGCTCACAGACACGCAGAAACGATATTCACAGACGGACCGGGAAGGATTGGCGGTGATTCTGGGGGTCCGCCGCTTTCATCATTGGTTGGCAGGTCGGAAATTTGTTATCCGGACCGATCATAAGCCCCTCCTGGGCATGCTGGGGGAGAACAAGCCGCTGTCCATGATGGCTTCACCGCGAGTGACTCGATGGGCAATGCTGTTGTCGGGCTATCAGTACAAGCTAGAGTATGTACCAGGATCGAGACAGGGACACTGTGATGGTCTCAGCCGTTTGCCTCTTCCGACAGCTGCTGGAGACTTGCCAGAGCCCGGCGAGACTCTGCACCTGGTGGAGATGATGGACGCTTCGCCAGTGACCGCCGCTGTGGTTAGACTGGCGACTGAACGTGACGCCACCCTCAGCAGAGTGCTGCAGTACACCCGAGACGGCTGGCCTGAGGACAGGAGCGGCGAGTCACCGGAGTTAAGTGCATATCGCACGAAGCAAGGTGAGCTCAGCATCCAGAACGGATGTCTCTTGTGGGGAGCTCGAGTCGTCATTCCAGTCAAGTTGCGGGAGAGGGTGCTACAGATGTTGCATGACGGTCATATGGGAGAGAGCCATACCAAGGGGTTTGCCAGAATGTACGTGTGGTGGCCAAACCTAGATTTTGACATAACCCAGATGGTTAAGGCGTGTGTGACCTGTCAACAATACCGCCACCAAGCGCCCGTCACGCCACTGAGTCCGTGGTCCCTCCCGTCCCGGCCATATGAGCGGGTGCACATTGACTACTGTGGCCCAGTGGAGGGGAAAATGCTGCTCATTGTAGTGGATGCATATACCAAGTGGATTGACGTACATGTAACAACTAGGGCAACAACCGAGGTTACTATGGAGGAGCTGCGGAAAACGTTTGCATACTGGGGAATTCCCAAGTTCTTGGTATCAGACAATGCTCAGTGTTTCGTGGCACCAGCGTTCCAGTCATTCTGTACTCAGAATGGTATCACACACCTGCGCACTGCGCCGTTGTCTCCAAAAAGCAACGGTCTGGCTGAGCGGGCAGTGCAGACGGTGAAGCAGGGTCTGAGGAAACAGGGGAATGGAACGCTGCACACCAAGCTGGCAAGGGTGCTGTTCACCTACCGTTCATCTCCCCACAGCACTACCGGAGTGACGCCAGCAGAGCTAATGACCGGGCGGCGCATGAGAACTCGTCTCGACTGTATGCTTCCCAGTCTGCAGGATCGTGTTGTCAGCTCGCAGTGGAAAATGAAGGAGCGGTATGACAGACAGGCACAGCGGCGCACCATACTACCAGGAATGTCTGTCCTCGTTTCACAGGTGTCGGGACTGGCCGGCGTCGGCAGGACAACACGCTGGCTACCCGGACACTGCATCAACATCTCGGGACTCAAGCTCACGGTCCGGCTGGACGACGGACGAGTCCTCCAGCGCCATCTGGACCAGGTGGTCCCGAGAGCGGTCGCCGGGAACCAGGCCGTCCGACAGCCGACGGACTGGACGGCGGCGCCGCGGCCTCCTCAAACGCCGCCGACGTCGCTGCCGACAACTCCAACGTCGCAGGCGACGCCTTCACCGCCGACGCCCTCACCGCCGACGCCTTCACCGCCGACTCCCACGCCGCTTCCGCCACCGCCAGCGGAATGTCCGGAACGGGAGAGGCCTTCGTCTCCCTCCCCAGTTAGGCGGCCGGCTCGTGGGTTGGAGGGACGGGGTGAGCTCAACTCGCGATTGAAGTGTGACGTCCAATTGTCGCGAGGCGAGAGTGTTGAGTGTCGTGAGCCTGTGTCAGCGCCGCAGGTACCGCGCTATAACCTGAGACCGAGAAAATAGTTGTTAACTAGGGGGGAGGAATGTGGTAGATTGTCACACAGCCTCTTGGCTGGCGTGCCTGGGTGCGCCACTGGCCGCCCTATCCGTCGTCCCTGAGAGCGGGCTTGCGCTCGCTTGACCTATAGCCGGGGGCGCTCAGCTGTGCGGTGTGGGTTGAGTCTGGTCAGCTGATCGAGTGGGAATACAGTTCTGACCGGTGATCGGAGGAGTGTGGTGCCGTGGTGCCGAGCTAGTTCACGCTATAACACGACGTACGCTCGCCTCTACAATCGGCCCACGGCCGAGTGAAGTGCTGTATCGACTAGCCCCCCGCCCGCCCTCATGGATACAGCAGACGTCAGGCCGGGCCGGCGACTAAGTGACATCCTGTATTGAGTCCCCTGGCCCATCCTCATGGATACAGCACACGTCAGGCTCCCGGCCTAGTTACGGACAACAAATGGCCGAATAGTGGAACATATGATGCTGAATACAATACTGGCACCGCGGCAGCAGCCTGGGTCTGGAATCCACCCTAATTGCAGCATTCACACACATCCACCCGGAGAAGGCAACTATGTGTTACCCAAAGCAGGCTCCTCAGTCCTTGGTCACAACTCTGTGTGTTCCTAACCAATTCCCGGTTTCTACCCTAGTTAGTGTTCCCCAGTCCCCACCCTGACCCCAAGGAGCGCCCCCCTTCCCCCCGGAGTGTTCCTAAGTCTCCACCCTGACCCCGAGGTTAGAGGCGCTCCCTCCCCCTCCCCTAGGAAGTGCTCTCCAGCCCCCAACCTGACCCCAAGGTTAGAAGCGCCCCCACCCCCCTCCCCCACCCCACTCACCTGACGATGCGGTGCGAGAAGTTGTAGTTGCCGTCCATGAAGGCGGAGATGTGCGCGTGCTGGCCGGTCGGCAGGCCGATCGCCTTGCCGGCCGTGATGTGGAAGTTACCGGACACCTTGTTGAGCACCAGAGAGCCGTGAACGCGGCACGCGTCGGGCCGCCGCTCGGGACGCGGACGGCTGTCAGATCAGAGCGCGTTAGACCACAGTCGGGAGGTTAGGTCAAGTGGCTTAACTAGGCAACCACCTTAGGCGACGAAAGGGTATTTCTTCATCAATATGTCACAACTGGCTATGAACAACCATGATGTAAATAATAACTTGGATGATGATATTATGCACTACGCAGATAAGCGACATATTCAAGCCCTAAGCCAACATGCCTCCCAGCTATAATAAATACTTGTACCACGTCGGGTCAAATAATGACACACAAGTCCCAAATTATCGGTTCCCTTTCCGTGCATGCAGCAAGTAGAAGACATTAACAATCCGCAAAATTCAGTACATATCCCCGGGACCAGCACCGCCCCGCTCTGGCGGGCTCCCCGGTCGCGCGTGCAGCCGGCCGCGGCGCTGCACTCACTGGGGCGGCAGGCCGGCGAACATGGACGTGTGTCCGCTCCTGAACAGTGTGTCTCGAAGGTTGTGGTAGTGCTCGCGCAGAAACGCGTTCGTCTGCCACGCGGAGAGAAACGTCATCAAACATAGAGACAGACAACGTCAGACGAGCCGCCGCGACACCGTTCAGAAACCTCCCCCGCAGTCTGGTGGGACCAATCTCGTTTCGCACCCAGTCAAGAAGCATAATCAGAGTACCATCCAGGCAAGGGTGTTAGTGCCTGGACACCCAGCCAAGGGGACGTCTCCGGTAACCCGACCAAGGGGGCATGTTAGGTAACCCAGTCAAGGGGACGTGTTACAGTACCCAGCCAGGGCTGTGAGGGTGCACAACCAGGTGTGTGTGTGTGTGTGTGTGTGTGTGTGTGTGTGTGTGTGTGTGTGTGTGTGTGTGTGTGTGTGTGTGTGTGTGTGTGTGTGTGTGTGTGTGTGTGTGTGTGTGTGTGTGTGTGTGTGTGTGTGTGTGTGTGTGTGTGTGTGTGTGTGTGTGTGTGTGTGTGTGTGTGTGTGTGTGTGTGTGTGTGTGTGTGTGTGTGTGTGTGTGTGTGTGTGTGTGTGTGTGTGTGTGTGTGTGTGTGTGTGTGTGTGTGTGTGTGTGTGTGTGTGTGTGTGTGTGTGTGTGTGTGTGTGTGTGTGTGTGTGTGTGTGTGTGTGTGTGTGTGTGTGGTGTGTGTGTGTGTGTGTGTGTGTGTGTGTGTGTGTGTGTGTGTGTGTGTGTGTGTGTGTGTGTGTGTGTGTGTGTGTGTGTGTGTGTGTGTGTGTGTGTGTGTGTGTGTGTGTGTGTGTGTGTGTGTGTGTGTGTGTGTGTGTGTGTGTGTGTGTGTGTGTGTGTGTGTGTGTGTGTGTGTGTGTGTGTGTGTGTGTGTGTGTGTGTGTGTGTGTGTGTGTGTGTGTGTGTGTGTGTGTGTGTGTGTGTGTGTGTGTGTGTGTGTGTGTGTGTGTGTGTGTGTGTGTGTGTGTGTGTGTGTGTGTGTGTGTGTGTGTGTGTGTGTGTGTGTGTGTGTGTGTGTGTGTGTGTGTGTGTGTGTGTGTGTGTGTGTGTGTGTGTGTGTGTGTGTGTGTGTGTGTGTGTGTGTGTGTGTGTGTGTGTGTGTGTGTGTGTGTGTGTGTGTGTGTGTGTGTGTGTGTGTGTGTGTGTGTGTGTGTGTGTGTGTGTGTGTGTGTGTGTGTGTGTGTGTGTGTGTGTGTGTGTGTGTGTGTGTGTGTGTGTGTGTGTGTGTGTGTGTGTGTGTGTGTGTGTGTGTGTGTGTGTGTGTGTGTGTGTGTGTGTGTGTGTGTGTGTGTGTGTGTGTGTGTGTGTGTGTGTGTGTGTGTGTGTGTGTGTGTGTGTGTGTGTGTGTGTGTGTGTGTGTGTGTGTGTGTGTGTGTGTGTGTGTGTGTGTGTGTGTGTGTGTGTGTGTGTGTGTGTGTGTGTGTGTGTGTGTGTGTGTGTGTGTGTGTGTGTGTGTGTGTGTGTGTGTGTGTGTGTGTGTGTGTGTGTGTGTGTGTGTGTGTGTGTGTGTGTGTGTGTGTGTGTGTGTGTGTGTGTGTGTGTGTGTGTGTGTGTGTGTGTGTGTGTGTGTGTGTGTGTGTGTGTGTGTGTGTGTGTGTGTGTGTGTGTGTGTGTGTGTGTGTGTGTGTGTGTGTGTGTGTGTGTGTGTGTGTGTGTGTGTGTGTGTGTGTGTGTGTGTGTGTGTGTGTGTGTGTGTGTGTGTGTGTGTGTGTGTGTGTGTGTGTGTGTGTGTGTGTGTGTGTGTGTGTGTGTGTGTGTGTGTGTGTGTGTGTGTGTGTGTGTGTGTGTGTGTGTGTGTGTGTGTGTGTGTGTGTGTGTGTGTGTGTGTGTGTGTGTGTGTGTGTGTGTGTGTGTGTGTGTGTGTGTGTGTGTGTGTGTGTGTGTGTGTGTGAGAGAGAGAGAGAGAGACAGCCAAAGGACGTGTCAGGGTACCCACCCGGTGCCCGGTGGTCGCACTCTCACCATCTGCGCCATCTGGAAGTGGTCGGCCTGGGCGGGCGTCATCTGCCACCAGGTATTCTCCTCCTCCAGACGGCCGAAGCTGAACACGTTCTCATTCGTCGAGTCCATGATGTCAGCACCGACCGCTGAGCGGCAGCACAGGGCGGAGTCAGAACAGTAGACGGGGGCGGTGTGAACCAGTACCTAACTTCCCACCAGCTTTCGACCAGTGGCCAGCAGCTAGGGTGGCATCACCTCATTGGCCTGGGACAGTGTAAGCCTCCCATCCTTAGTCATGGCGTCACCTTCCAACCATATTCTCCACCTACTTTCGTCAGCGATGTTCCTCCTCCTACTCTCGTCGTCTTCCTCCGCCCCATCCCTCACAGTCCCTCCTACCCTCTGTCCCTACTCACTCGCCCATTCACCCTCCGCCCTCCCCCTCCTCACCGGCGCAAAGGCATCCCGACGACCCCACCCTCCCCTTCTCACCGGCATGGGGCATCCCCAGACCCCACCCTCCCCTCCTCACCGGCGCAAGGCATCCCACGACCCCACCCTCCCCTCCTCACCGGCGCAAGGCATCCCGACGACTTCACCCTCCCCTCCCACCGGCACGGGGCACCCCACGACCCCGCCCTCCCCTCCTCACCGGCACGGGGTATCCCCACGACTCCGCCCTCCCCTCCTCACCGGCGCAAGGCATCCCGACGACAATGTCCACATGGATGGGCAGCTTGGCGTCCATCTCCACATCCGGCTCGAACCGAAAGCGGAACGAGGACATATAGTAGGTGACCTCCGTGTAGAGCAGCAGTACCATGGCGGCAAACGTCAGGATACTGACTGCAAGGCAACAGTGGTGAGGGAGGGAGTCAGATCAAGGTAGATGGGACGACATTCATCCACACACTTAAACTACCATCTGATAGACATTTGGTGTGTGGGAAGAATCCATCAGACAGCTGCTTGCACATTGCACATCATAGGGGCAGAGTGGGTGGGCAGTGGAGCACTCGATGCTTTTACCTGATGTTTGTGCTTGGGGAAAACCACAGGAGCTGATACTTACTGGTGCCGCCTGACCTGGTCGTCTCCACATAGGTGTCTGCAATTTTTGGAAATGCATCCAACTTTTTAACTGTGTCTAGCACAGTTTTTCTTTGTCTTAGCTCCATTCTCTTAACAGTTGGCTTGCACAGTTATCTTACAGTTTTATCTGTAAATATAAGATTCATTTGTAAAAGTAGGTTAATTGATTAGGTAAGCTTCGCTGGAACTATCATGCACCCCTTTCAGTAAAATTTGAGCTCCTCCACGATATGCTCATCAAAAACTTTCCCTTTTCATTATAGATTTCATTTTAGATATGTGATTAAGCACATAGAAGTAGATTCAGACTAAAGGAAATGCATCTTTAGCTAGGTATAGGTATAAGACCATCACCCAGATTTCATGGGTAAAAGTATACATTGAGTCCGAGTGACTGTTAAAAGATAAAGTTTTCATATTCTTAATTTCTTACATTCTTTGACATCCTGAATCCAAAAATGATACTTATATGTCTTGAAAATAAAAGAAAAACATAATCAAACCTGACCTAACCTTACCTACTTACCTACAACCTACCAACCTACAACCTACATACCTACAACCTACCAACCTAAAACCTACAAACCTACCAACCTAAAACCTAAAACCTAACCTACCTTAAACCGCTAAAACCTAAATTTTTTGCTGTTACATATTTGTATCAACATCGTCACAATTGTCCACTCGGATCTAATATATACTGCCGATTTCATGTTTGTCAAGCCAGGGGCGGATCCAGGAATTTTCGGGAGGAGGGGGCGGCAAGTCAAAATAGGGGCGACCTGGCAATCCAGGGGCGCTTCATAAGAAATGGCGCCAAACTGTCGTCAAAATCGAGTCGTCAAACCCGCGCCATGTTGGGGGACGTTGTCAACATGCTCCAGCAGCGCTAAGCCTCTGTATGCCGCACACAGTGTGCGGCCCGTGGCAGAGAGTAGGTGGAGCTACGCAGCCAACGTCACCCAAGTGTGATGCACACCGCTGAGCACACAGCACTGACTTAATGATCATTAATTGATAGATAACTATATGAATATCTCAATGATAATACCAGACCTAACTGGCATCCATATGATATACACATGCCTCGATTTATATTTGGTTTATATAGCCTTGACGCATGCACGGTATCGGTACGGCCCTCTAGGTATTAAGTGGTTGGTTGCCAATGCCGCAATAATCGACATGCATTGATGAATGCGTCTAATGAAGTCTTGAAGTCTTGAAGTCTTGAATGTATGGAAAAAGGCGTACTGCCTGTAACTTCCACTACTCCTTACTGATTGAGTGGGTATATGTCAGAGCTGGGTAAGGATAATCGTGGGATAATTCAAGGTCACTATGCTTTGTCATTCAGTTCCTCGATTCGGCGGCATTTACTCCAGTTGAAGTCTCTCACTCTTCAAAAACTCGTCCACTCTTCTTTTAAACAGCATGGTTGATTTAGACTGTACAATGTTCTCTGGAAGACTGTTCCATAAGTTACATACTCGATGTGTGAGGAATGACCTTCGTACTCGTTTCTTTACACTAAATTTTGTGATCCGTAATGTGTGTCCTCTTGTATGCCTTGCTTCTCGTTTCAATTGCAACATATCACCTTCAGTCTTGAGTTTCCCAGTAATGAGTTTATACATTGTTATTAGGTCCCCGCGCATTCTTCTGTACTTGAGGGTGGGTAGGTTCAGCACTGTCAACCTTTCTTGATATGGGACATTGCTCAAACCTGGGACCATTTTTGTGAATCGTCTCTGTGTATTCTCTAGTAAGTCTTGGTCTCCTTTGAAGGTTGGTCCCCACACACAGTTGCCATACTCAAGAACAGGTCGTATTAGTGTTCGATACAGTTTGGAAATCATGTCCTTGTTCAAGCAAGTGAAACTTCGTTTGATAATTGCATGAAGCATCTTGCACTTCTTTGCGACTCTTGCAGCATGCACATGAAACTTTAAATCTCTGTCCATATGTACCCCTAGATCTCGTTCAGAAGTGGCTTCCCTGAGATGCACTTGGCCCAATTTATACTTGTGAAGTGGATTTTTTGACCCGAGATGCATCACTGAACACTTATCGAGATTCAATGGTAGCTGCCAGCGTTGCGTCCATGCCAGGATGTTGTCAAGGTCCTGCTGTAGGTTTCTGCTGTCCTGGTAAGTAGTAACTGGATGGAAGATCTTCGCATCATCCGCAAACAATCGAATGCTACTTGATTCCAGCACATCAGGCAAGTCGTTTATATAGAGCAGGAAACACAAAGGTCCCAGTACAGTACCTTGTGGGATTCCACTTGTGACGTCCACCCAACCAGACATAATTCCGTTCACAGAGACACTTTGTTTTCTTCCACAGAGGAACCCTTCGAGCCACTTAACGACTTTCGGTCCTATGCCATATGCACTGAGCTTCTTTAATAGTCGTTGATGTGGGACAGCGTCAAAGGCTTTCTTGAAGTCAGTGTAAATGACGTCAACTGGATGACCTTGTTCCAAATACTTCGTCCACAAATTCATACAAGACAACAACTGTGATTCACACGACTTTCCTGGGACAAAGCCATATTGGAAATCTGAGAGTAGTGATTGTTCTAGCAGGTGTGTCATTATAGCATGTTTTACAATACCCTCCATAACCTTTGAAACAACACTCGTAAGGCTTACGGGTCTGTAATTGCCAACTTTTCGGCGATCTCCCTTCTTAAATATTGGTTTAACCAGAGCCATTTTCCAATCACTTGGCAGTTGTCCTGAGTCGAGTGATTTTTGGAATAATATCCTTAAAGGTTTACATAGTGCTTGAGCAGTTCCCTTCAGAAATTGGGAATGAATTCCATCAATACCGGAAGCCTTGCCAGGTTTCAGATCTTCTAGCCTCTTCTTGATATCTTCACTATTAATATTGATGTCTTCAAGGACACTCCCATATTGTCTGGTGTCTAGTGTTGGGACGTCCTGTAGGTTCTCCTTTGTGTACACACTTTGGAAGAATGTATTCAAGGTAAATATTTACTTTAGGTCCGCAATATTTTTTTAACAAGAAAAAATGCACATTCTTACACTATTTGATGTCCTGAATTCAGATATGATGCTTAAATGCATCAAAAATGTAAAATAAGATGCTAGAACCCATTAGCGTCGCCACGGGGGGGCAAGCGGGGCAGCTTGCCCCCCCCCCAACCTCGGACCGGGCACCCCCTGAGATCGATACAGATCCGATGAGATTTTGGAGTCGGGGAAAAATGGGGGTACCTTTCTGAGAATGCCTGTGAGGTCAGACTCGGTTGGAGCGTGCAGTTCAAACCAGAGTCTGACTCGCAGTCGCCAAAATCTGCAAGACTCCGAGTCCAGACTCGGAAATGTCAATGCTGTGATTGATTCCATGTTCCTAGTTCGTTCTTTATTACATTTTACAGCTGATTTTCATAAGTTTTGGAGTGCTGACACGATTTTCGTTCAAAATGTGAAACGAAATCTTCGGGGTCTTTCTCAACTCTCGTCAAATGTCTGCGACAGGCTCAAGTACCGTACAAGTGTCGCAGGGCTCATGAGCTTGCTTTAAACAAAGGCTGCTAAGGAGCTCCACTGATCCCTAAAGAAGCTTTCAGAGGGCCCAAACCGGCCTTCTGAAAGTCCCACTGATGTCCATGTTCTCTGAGGGCCCATGCAGGGATCTTTGAGCCTTCGAACATTTCTGAGAACCTTAACTGACCTCTGATAGTTCAGCCAAACTTTTGAGGCGACAGACTTTGCTAACCCCAAGCCGGCATCTGAGGGGTCACAGCTCACGTGTCCCTCTGAGGTCCACAACACATGTTTATTATGTCCCTACGTAAGGTCCTTAGGGATTCGACACAGACCCCGAGGGTTCACACTGTTATCCGAGGGCTCCAGGCTCACCCTGGGCCTAGTCTCTTAGCGCCCGCCGCCCACACTGGCTTCTGAGGGCCCCACCTTGGGCTCGGAAAGCCTTAAAGCACCATGTACACGTAAATATTTGAGGTGACCCATGCCGATCTCCGGGATCCTAAGCATGCTTCTGAGAGTCAGCACTGACCCTGAGTGGCCTGAAATGGCCTGGAAGTCCCAAACCTACCTTTAAGGAATCCCTTGCCGCTATGCCACGCGTAACTTTTGGTTCCGTTTAACAGTTCTTGTTCGCGTTTGCAGCGCTTCCCCTCACACGAAAAACGAGAAACTTTTGTTCACACTCGAGTGAACAAAACACTTCCTCTCACTGGAGCAAAGATGAATTACTTCCGATTCACACTTCTGACATTCGCTCTCCGCCAAATGCCCAACTTTACTACGATCGGCGGCTGAGATAAGTCCTATGCATTTCACGTAAAACCTCTGCATGCATGCGTGAATGGAGGTTTTAGCAGGGTGATCCGATCAAATGGAGCGTTTTTCACTTTTTTCTGGGTTAATGACCAGTAAAACGCCTTTTGGGCGAAAAACGAGCGAGCGAGATAGTGAGCCCTGCACGTGCAAAAGGGCGAGAGGGTGCTTCCAACGGGCTTGCGCAAAGCACCCTTCTAACTGGTCGCTAGCGGTGTGCCAAATTTGCACGCAATCGGCCCAGCCGTTCCTGAGATCTGGAAGCGCCATTCTGCACGTGCGCACGTGCAAACGGGGTCCAAAATGACTTTTGCACGGCACCCTACTAACCGGTCCCCAACCGTGTACCAAATTTGAGCGCAATCGGCCCAGCCGTTCTCGAGATCTGGAAACGCCCCCTGCACGTGCGCACGTGCAGTAGCACCCTAACCGCAACACATGGGAATGCATTGCCTGGTGGGTGCCTACCAGTATGCCAAGTTTCAGCGAAATCGCTCCAGTAATTACCGAGTTACTGAAATGGGAACAAATTTGGCACCTCTTATTGTTGTATTTTGCACGTGCACTGGGGGTGACCCACATGCATCGAGAGTATCCTATTTTGGGTAGAAGGGATGCTGCTACCCTACACAAATTACCGCAAGTCAATCGCCCAAGCGGCTGCTGAGATATGAGCCTCTCAAAATCACTACTTTTGCAAAACAGCTTGAACACCCTCGACTTTTCACGTGGCACGTGCCACGACGGTCACTGAGATGTATCAAAAGTAGTCAATTACGGGGTAGAAGGGATGGGGCTACCCAACATAAAAGACCGCAGGCCAATCGGTCCAGCGGTTGCTGAGATATAAGCCTCTCAAAAGCGTTACAGGCCGGGCCGGGCCGGGCCGCTCATACTGAGATTTTTCCGTTATATTGAAAAGACTCACTTCGCTCGCTGCGCTCGCTCGCTCGTAATCATGAGCGTCAAGTGCCTGCACAGGGGCCCTCTGCAGTGCGTCGGCAATCGCAGCCACTGTAATTCTACCTGTCGTTTTTGTCATGAAATTTTTTAATTTCGAATTTTTCTGTAAAAAATTACATGTCATAGCTAGAAGGAAACCTTTGTCACCATCGGACTCTTCGCATCATTGCGCGTCGAATGATATGTAAAACGAGTGAGTAAAGACTGGGGAAAGGCAAGTTTTAACACAAAAGTTGATTTTGCCCCCCCAACCGAAAATCTCTGGCGACGCCTATGCTAGAACCCCAGCACATTTCACAGCACTGCTGCACAATACACACTGAAGAGAAAGCACGCTTCCGCGACGAAAACGAAACATACAACGTTGCCCTATAAAAGAAAAAAATGATGCGATTAGTTTTCGACGTTATGAAAATGACGTCAAAATACCAAAGCACAAGAAAAACGGTGAATAAAAAAAGAGAAAATATTAAGCAAAGGTAATAGAGCATGAGAAAATGATCAGAACATAACCTAACCTTACCTAACCTGACCTACTGATGTTTGCCTACTGGGGGAAAAGAAAAAAGTGACTTGCATGAATAGATTGCAAGCAATGGTAAGTCAAATATTTTTAGGTTAAGTGGTTATGCATCAGGCTTCAGGCCTTCGGCCTGAAGCCAGATACACAACCACTTAACCTAAAAATATTTGACTTACCATTGCCTGTAATCTCTCCTAAGGCATTGCCTTCGGCACTGCACCGCTCCGCCACGATTATTTTGACGTCACTTTCCTTACAATTTATGATCATCTGTAATTTCGCTCAACCTTGGTTGGACCATTTGTAGCGGGTGCGCCGCGCAGACGGTCTTTTGACGCGTGCAGTTCCGGGTCCGGTCGGAGGTGGGGCCGTTTGTGGTGATACTGGTGATATTAGTGTACTGGTGCTTTTAAATTGGTTTCTAGAAGGAATAAGTATCAGAAATAAAATCAGGAGGTCTTAGAGTATCGTGTGAATGACTTTTATTTACCCCTCTGTTATGCGGACCTAAAGTAAATAAATACTTAATGGTTCACATTTTTGTTGGTCTGTTTGGGCATTTGTCCCATCATCCAGTTTCAATGTCTCCACAGAGGGTTTAATCTTTAGAGACTTGTTCACATATTTCCAGAAGGACTTCTTGTTTGTTTTCATGGAACCTACTATTTTATTTTCCATCTCAAACTTAAGTTTCCTTGTCAATGTTCTCAGCTGGTTCCTCAATTTGGCATACCATCTGAAGTCGGAATCTTGTCTGGTAATACGATACTTTTCCCATAACCTTTCCTTCTTTCTACGAAGAGAAAGAGCCTCATGGTTGATATAAGATTGAAGCTTCTTTCTTCTACTTTTTACTTTAACTTCAGCCTCGATGATTTTTCTTATAGCCTCAGTTAATGGCTGTTGAAAACCACTGCAGAAAGGTGTTCACAAACTGAAACCCTCTTCTCATTTCTATTTAGTCATTTCGCAGGACAGGGGTGTCTCTGTCATTTTGAGTTATTACACCAAAAGCACATAGGCTAACCAACCACTCTTTTGCTGGAGGGACCGTACATAAAATCTGCCAAGGTTTATAAAAACACTGCCTTGCAATCTGCCTCTGAAATCTGAAATCCAGGGTATATTGAGTGAAGGGTAGGACGAACTTTGGTAGGAATTTCTAGTATAACTACTAGAAAACCTACTATATGTGGTCGGGACTAGCAAAAACTTAGTTCAAACTAGAATATGGTAGCGCTTATGGTTGGCAGTCGTGACGCGCACGTGACATTCATTTATTAGATTTCTTAAATAACAGGAGGGGTGTTCACGGGCACCGCACACTGCTGCGTGCGGTGTGCGGTACGTCAGCAGGCGTGGGGGTAGGGGATAGGTAGGCGGCTCTGACGTCACGGCTGCGTGCGGTGGACGGTCCGCTGTGGCCAGTCCCGACCGGCCACAGCGGTCGCTGTGTGCGGTGACGCAAGGCTGACGTAGGGACGCAGTGGGCGGAGCTTGGAGGCTGTGTGCGGTCCGACCGCACACAGGGTCCGTGAACAGCCCTAGGCTTTAGAGGCAGATTAGTGGGCAGATACATTCAATTAGCTATTAATAATTGATTATGCAAACATTCAAGAATCTACATCATTCAATTCTAGCCGAAATCACGCGGCGCTCCCAGGATTCGAACTCACGACCCTCGGATCCGTAGCAGGGCTGTTCACGGGTCCTGTGTGCGGTCGGACCGCACACAGCCTCCTAGCTCCGCCCACTTCGTCCCTACGTCAGCCTTCCGTCACCGCACACAGCGACCGCTGTGGCCGGTCGGGACTGGCCACAGCGAACCGTCCACCGCACGCAGCCGTGACGTCAGAGCCGCCTACCCATCCCCTACCCCCACGCCTGCTGGACGCACCGCACACACCGCACGCAGCAGTGTGCGGTGCCCGTGAACACCCCTCCGATACGCTACCGACTGCGCTACCGAGGACCGCGCGCCGACGATCGGAGAGCCGGATCGCGGGTGGTGGCGTGCAGAGAAATCTTTACCCTGTACGCCGTAGAAGATCGGCTGGGTTTCGTGAAAAATGGTAGAGGAATTGTCGAAAGAAAATTCATCGATCTATCATTTGAGACTAAGAACCATTGATTCCTTCAAAGGTTGACCGAGATATCGCTCGCCGAAAACAGGCCATTTAACATGTAAACCCTATGGGCTGGTAGGAAATGTACGCCGTGGAGCAGCAGTGCTACCAACTAACTTCGGCGGGGGCCGATCTGAAATCTGCCTTGCATAGAATACTGAGGGGTGTTCACGGGCACCGCACACTGCTGCGTGCGCTGTGTGCGGTGCGTCCAGCAGGCGTGGGGGTAGGGGATGGGTAGGCTCTCTGACGTCACGGCTGCGTGCGGTGGACGCTCCGCTGTGGCCAGTCCCGACCGGCCACAGCGATCGCTGTGTGCGGTGACGGAAGGCTGACGTAGGGACGCAGTGGCCGGAGCTTGGAGGCTGTGTGCGGTCCGACCGCACACAGGGCCCGTGAACAGCCCTCTGAAATCACAGTGCAAGGCCATATATACCGCACAGTGAATAAAATCCAGGCTCTGTTCATTCATCGGCAACGATGGCACAGCAGAAAAGTATTTTATTTCATGCGCTTTAAATTGGCCAATGAATGCACAGGACATTAATGCTAAGCGTTTCTTGACTCGAAAGTTGCGCACTAGTTTCGATTACTTCACTATTTTCTGAACAGTAATCTGTAATTTTCTGAATTGTAATCAATGGTGAAATGCTTGCTATTCGAAGAGTTCAGTATATAGCGTATATAGGGCCATGGAGTTCAGTGAGTTCAGTGAGTTCAATATCATGCCCAAATCATGCTATTCAAGTATATTGATACGATATTGATATACCATGTCAATCAAGGCCCTATGCCAATATGCCTGCCCAGTGCTTGCAGGTGTTACCTACTCAAGATCAAAAGGCCAAGATTTCTTGTATTACTTGCTCACAGAGCTTTCTATGTACTAAAAATGATTTCGTTTTGAATCCATAGATTGAGATTCCATCAATATTGATATATTCCAAAATCCAAGCGAAGGATAACTTGAAGGCAAAGGTGTTGAGTGTTTGCTGGCTCCATGCCTATCTCAACCTCAACATCTGCCGTGACTTCTGCAGTGTGAGTATTGACAGAAAAAAATGTTGTCTGCCTTAGTTGTCTGCCTACCAGTACCAAACTGTGGAGGGGTGTTTCAGTTTTACCTAGTTGCCTTACCTGATACCTGATACCTGATATTTGGGGATCATTGAAGGCACTAGGATTGCCCGGTGGATCCGTCGTAGAGAGCTCGGGTAGCATTAACAGTCTTATCTATTGTGGAGCGATGAAGGCATAGTTCATCCAGTGCTTGTCCAGCCGGTTCTTGAAAACATTTGTCGATGGCGAGCAGACAACTTCTTCTGGTAGGGCGTTCCAGTCCGACACAACCCGGGTGGCGAAGTGGTTGCGCCGGACGCGGCTGACCGCTGGCTTCTTGGCCACCTTGAGTCGGTGGCCGCGGGTGCGTGTACTTGGGGCGGGCGAGAAGAAGTCGTCCTTGTCCAGGCCGGAGCGTCCGTGCATGATGTTGAACATCGTGATCATATCTCCGCGTCGACGGCGGTACTGGAGGGAGGGAAGTTTAAGACTCTTCAGTCGTTCTTCGTAAGGCAGATGCCGAAGTCCAGGGACAAGGCGCGTAGCCCGTCGCTGAACCCGCTCCACCAGCCTCACGTCGGTCGTGTTGAACGGGCCCCATACTTGATTGCAGTACTCTAGGTGCGGGCGAACCATTGTCTTATACAGCAGAGGAAGTGTCTTGGAGTCGATGTGGACGAAGCTGTGCTTGATCAGGCCGAGGGTTCTGTTGGCCTTGCCAATGGCGGTCGCCGCTTGCTCCCTGAATTTAAGCAGTCTGTCCATCTGGACTCCCAAGTCTCTTTCCGTGTCGACAGTCTTCAATGCAGCGCCTTCGATCGTGTACTTCGCCCGCACGTTTTGGCTGCCCAGGTGAAGCACTGTGCACTTGCCACTTGGATGGGTTGAACGGCAGCTTCCACTTCCGAGACCAGGCCGCCAGGGCGTCCAAATCCTGCGGGAGCCTTCTGCGGCCGATCTCGGTGCCCGCTCCGACGTACACCTTCGTATCATCAGCGAAGAGCTTGCATGCGCTCTCTACGCAGCCAGGTAGGTCGTTGACAAAAGCGATGAAGAGCACTGGTCCCAAAACTGTGCCCTGCGGGATACCGCTGCCGACTGCGACCCAGTCCGAGAAGCTGCCGTTGACAGTGACCCTTTGCTTTCTCTCTGTCAGGAAAGAGCGAAGCCACTCGAGGAGGCGTCCCCTAACGCCCATGTCGTGGAGCTTCTGGAGAAGACGCAGGTGAGGCACCGAATCGAAGGCGCGTCGGAAGTCCAAGTAGGCGACGTCAACCGGCTCGCCCTCCTCCATCAGCCAAGTCCACTCTTCGAGTGTGCTGAGAAGCTGCGTTGCGCAGGAGCGCCCCGGGCGGAACCCGTGCTGGCATTCAGTTAGCTGGCCTGTCACTGTCATGTGCTCGAACAGGGCGTCACGCACGAGCGACTCCAACACTTTCGCCGTCACGGACGTCAGGCTGACGGGACGGTAATTGGAAGGATCGCTACGAGGTCCCTTTTTATAAATGGGGACAACTTGACCTAGCTTCCAATCTCTTGGGACTCTTCCGTCTGCCAAGGAGTGGTTGAAGAGGTCTGTCAAGGGACCACACAGGGGGGCAGCCAGCTCGCGC